CGCGAGACGCGGCGAACCGTGGCGCGGATGGACTGGTGTGTTTCGTTCAATTACTGAGTAAAATGCGTTCAAATGTGGTTAATAGCAATGTGCCACTGAAAAGAAAGATAATGATACCAAAATAACACCATACTAACCACTTACAATAAGAAATATTCGTATATAATGTAAGATAAAAACACCAAAACCACCCAACGTTTCGTGTTATTCACTTTTTCAAGGGTGATATGCATACATATCACCCTTGAAAAAGTGAATAACACGAAACGTTGGGTGGTTTTGGTGTTTTTATCTTACATTATATACGAATTAATTTGTCCAATTCAAATAATCAATAAGAAATATATGAGGGTAAACTTTAATCCGCGCCACTTTCGCCTCCTGCAGCTACTATTTTCTTCTTGCGCAAAACTGAAAGATTTTGCGCGAGCCTACGTCACACGTGTGACGTCATACGCCGAAGGGCGGAGCTTGGCACCCGAGAGACCCCAACTGCGCATGCGTGGTGCAAAATTTTGCAATAGGATGCGCTGCCCGAACAGGGCCCTGGTAATAATCGAGTGACGCTAGTCGCTAGTTTATTTTCAACTTATGGCCTCAACTAGCATCAAATGAAAATCAGAGTGCTCGTTGTTTGGCAAGGAATGTGAAATTATTTAACTTAGGTAAGCCAAAGTTTGTTTCGTTTTGCTGTTATTAGAAGCACATAATAAAATTATCAATGCAACAAACTTTGGATTACTAAGTGGGCGAATTTCACATTCCTTGACTGACAACGAGACTTCTGAGTTCACTTGAAGATACATATTTCTAGGCTGCATTCTGAAAGTAAGAAATACACAAACACATGTAAAGCTTGCAGTGCAGCAGCCTGAAGCTTTCAATCTGTCTGTTTCAGTGATCATGATCGCCATCATGTATGACATTGCGTGGCGGACCAACACGTGCGCTCTACGGTCCCCATACGGCTACCTCGAGGAGCCCGACGGCAAGCAGCACGTCACCCTCCGAGAGCGGCTCCGAGTCGCGGCCGACAAGACCAGGGAGGCCGCGGGCAGGACGCTCGTCGCCACCAGGGACGTGGCGGTGAAGACGGGGAGGACCATATCGAACCCGGAGACGTTCCGCAAGATCGGCACCCTGGTGACGACGAACGTGGTCTGGGTGAAGACGGTCGGCGCGCTGAAGAAGAGCCCGCCGGAGGACCGGCAGCCGACGCTGGACCCGGAGCAAGGTCTGGAGCAGCAGGCCGAGCAGCTGGAGCAGCAGCTGGACGAGCCCGGACAAACGGACGGAGCTGATGTTCAAGAGCCAGGTGAGGGCGAGTCTCCGGCAGAGGGTGAGGGAGAGGGAGAGGCGACGGATAAGGACGAGGGCGAGGCGCCGGCAGACGCCTCTGAGGAGGCGACGCCCAGCGACGAATCAGATGGAGGCTCCCCTGAGGCAGAGGAGGGCGCTCCCAAGGAGGAGGAACAGGAACCAGCGGAGAGCACCGAGAATGAGCAGCCCTCTGAAGACGCGCCAACAGAGCCTGCGCAGCAAGAGGCCGATAGCTAAACTGACCAGCAGGCCATTCAAACCGTCAGTGGGGACGGACAAGTTATAAGAAACATCCGTCTTCAGCGTGGCCTCAGGCCTGATGCTATAGTATGATAACTACATTGCGCGGTTACAGTTGTTGGGTAAAGGAAAATCCTGTTATTGCCTTGCTTCGTAAGCTAATGTATATCGGTTCACGCTTAGAGACACGCTACGTGTAAGATCATACAATGAGCGTGCTCTGTAACTAGCGACACTGGTCGTTTTGCATTAATGTTTAATAACGGACAATGTTGACTTTTTATTAAGTTTGCCGACAATTTTTTTCCGATAAGCACTACCGCCTGGGCTCATTCACTTCAGAATAACTTTCAGATGCAATTGAGCTTTTTTCTTCTTCAATTGATTAGATGGATGGTTTTTCGAGCAACCCTCCTCCCAACCACCGGCGTAGAAATCCAAAAACCCCAGCGGAACGCGGCTTCATTCGTTCATTCATTGACAAAATTTAGGTCCAATGACTACTGAGCATGCTGTCTACAGGTGTCTGCAGGTGTCTGCAGGTGTTACGAAGCATTTAATGTTTTATTAGAAAACATTTCAGCATTACTATAGGTATTGTATTATCAAGCCGAAATAGTCTTATGGCAGATGATAATCATGAAATGACACATGCCTTTTGATCATGACAGACGACATGCTTCGTTGATTTCGAAGAGCAATACAACTGAAAAATACATTTTTGTTTCTTCGTATTTGATATAACCATTATAATATAGGTAGTTATAATGGTATAGTGGTAAACACTAATCAAATCAAGCGTCGGTATCGTAAGAAGCGTTAGGGTGGCCGTTTTGCCCCATTCTTCCTTTGACGAGTCAGGACAAAGACAATGGTCAGGATGGGGAACAGGAGCCTTAGCCACCAGCCTGTACTGTAGGACACGAATGAGCGCAATAAAATTATAAAACATATACGATGATAATTAATTGCATTTCTACCACGATTTTAGCATACACGCGACGCATTAAAGGAGATGTCAGGCACGGTCTCCGGGTTTCATGGGAATTCTTTTTTTTCTCGAAGGGATGTTTTACTTACCCGACAGGTGGGCTTTATCCTTGTATGCACATCCGTCTAAATATCCTGCAGCTAGCCAACTTGTCGACCACCATGCCACAGCCTGATCTGACATGATGTGATGATCTTCCCTATCCCGGACCGTTAATTGACTTGGAGCTATTTGTGTTATGATGAGGAACGCCAACACACGCTCGCCGCGCTTCTCACGTTGTTTCATGATTAAAATGAGCTTATACCAAGAGCAATATTTCATTTAGAAAAATGGGACAATGGTCTAATTGCCATAAATCAACAACCGCGTTCTCGGCGAAATTTCCGGGTCATGATTTTCGATGGTGGTTTAGTTTTCCATGATAAACGTAAAAGGCTTGTCAGGGATTTAAAAGCATACGACTATTGTAAACGCATGGACGTTTGAATTGTCTGTATGGTGACATCAACATCTGGTTGTCCTTTGCTTTTGTGACAGCCGCTGTCACTGAATGTGGGCGATCAGTTGATGGGCTGATTAGTTGTGAAGTAAGCTATGTCAGACGCTAAATTTCAATTTTGCGCGTAGATGGGTATGGGTAGTGGGTAGTACCCATTGGGTACCTAGTTATATGCCAAATATCATGATTTACGGTGAAAAGTGTTCCGTGCCCGCATTGAAAGGGCAGTGATTGCATGTATCGGAAAATATGAATTCACCGTACAGCGATCAGCTAACTAGCCTCGCGTACCATACCCAAAATAAGACAGGTAAGGACCTTTAAAAGCCAGACATAAAACGTGGTTAATGTTTGGCAATGCGGAAGGAAAGGGCAGCGTTGTGGGAGGCTATATTTTAAATCTATGTTATGTAACGGAATTTTATGCAAAAAGTGCACGACAAAAACTGATAAATTATGAGGTGAAATAAAGAACGTTGGGATATCCATTGGGTAGTGCAGAGTTCAACATGTTACATCTTTAATCATTTTTTTTGTCTTTTTTATTGCTGAACTAAGCACTGCATTAGGTACTGATAATGATTCAGCAATAGGCGATGCTTACAATAACATAAGTAACATGTTGTTATAGCATAAGTTAACATCTTGCCCCTTGCTCCCGACCAAAACAAAGCGTAGTGTTCCCGGTTCCGCTTAGGCGACGTCAAAATTCCACTCAGGCTTAGAAACTAGTTTCGGCACCGTATCATCTCATGACTGCACTATTACGACCAATTTACCGACATAGTTTCTGCGATCACAGCTTCCCCAGCTAACTATAGTAAATCTCAATTTGTAGCTAACAGTCTAATTCTAAATCCAGCTGCCGCTGTCTCCACACCAGACCAGAGCATAGCTCTGCAGTCTGCGGTCGCAGTGGTGCGCGGAGTCTCATCACCTCAATCAAAACACCGGACCGCTCCCGGCCGCGGGCCCACAGCTATGAGCAGCCGACCCCTGTCACCTGAGGCCTCAGCACACAGAGCCGGTCGGCGCCAGACGCGCGTGCATTGAGAAACGGTCCGGTTTGAGCGAGCTGCTACCGCCCACGCCGCGCGCGTGCGTGGGTGGACCTCGGCCCGAATCGGCACCTGGCAACAGACTCGGCGGCTGCCCCGGGGGCATTCGGTGGCCAGCCGGGTCATGGCACCGGACTCCCGTTAGTTGCTTTCGCCTGGCAGCAAGATGGCTTCGACTGACAGGTTCTTACGTAAAATACAAATATGGAAAGACTACGGCTCACGTGGTTCGGCGTTGACCTAATTTTCAGATATAGGAGTAGTAGTTATAGGTATGTACGTAACAGGTATTGAGATAAGTTGATTCTCTGGACCATTTCGTTTAACAGAAAGGACAATTACCTAATGAATTCCACCGAATTATTTTGTACCTTATATCAAGTCTGAATGATGCATTGCTGCGCAATTTATCGATATTTGGGCCGGCGATACCTACACCGAAGCATTCTTGCTATTCCCTCACGATCTGAATTTAAATAGGTATTTAGATTTGAAACGACAACTCTCCCTACATTTCAATGAGTTCCGCAACCACATAAGACATTAAACTTCTTCACTAGAAGTGTCCTTACCCACAAATGTCAGATCCCACCCTTTTTAAGATTTTGTATTCAAGTCCTCATGCCTACCAACGCTGACATTTTACCTAATGCGGACATTGTTCCAAAATGCATACTCGGAATGCGGATGGCTGCACACTGCACACTGCACAGTGATCGTCTATGTAGAGTGTAGACAGTCAACAGGCATACGCTTCACTACAACAGTGAGACACGACGATGCATGCCTCACTGCGGTGATGACATTAGCAGCTGCGGAAGGTCTGGGACCCGGGCCGCCCCACTGTGCTCAGATCGCGCGAGGTGCCGGCCAGGGTCTGCCTGACCCCGTCGGTCGGTTGGTCGGTTCAGCCAGAGTCGGCTGCCAACGCGCCCTCTGCCGGCGGCTGGCGGTGCGGGTCCTCCGAACTGCGGGTCCGGCAGTGCGTGTGTGGGCAGGACGAGCGCTGGCCAGGCAGGGTTTGAGCTGATACAGTGAGACAGAAGTGTGAGGGATTGGTGTAAGCGAGGAGAGCGACTGTGACGGAATCTGGAGAATGCTGAGATATGTGTGATCCTGTGTGATCGTGACGGTGACAACGTGCGGAGCGCATGAGTCCGCCGTGCTGGCGCATTTATTGAAACCAACCTGTCTCATCGCTGACGGTTCAAAACACTCCTGAGCTGTGTGAGCCGGATCGTCCGTCAACTTCATCTGGCAAATTTCATGAGTACCTGAGTGCGTGTCACCACATCGTGACGTCAGTAGCCGTCACGTGAACATCCGCCAGTGTCTGTGAGTGAGACACGGCGTGCGTTCGAAATCCAAGGGAGATTTCATCCTGCGAAGAAGGTGAATGCTCGCTTATATAGTGTCATACTGCGTGACAGTGGCCAACTCGTGGTCACAGGGTGAACGCTTTGGTCCCCCATATCCTGTGTGAATGTGCAACCAACTCCTGGGATTGTCGTATGGCCAGGAACGACGAAATACCCACAGAAGCGTGCTGTTTTTATTGCTTCTGCCATTAGATCTGAGGACTCCTGAAAAACAGCATCGATTTATTTCCTTTTGTTGTCTCAACTGGTAAACAAGGAGAGACCTTGCTCGAATTGGAGTGAAGTGGCTTTGAACTTTGCGGAGGGTGCAATCTAAGTGTTCCTTTATTATCCGCCGTCTTTGTTGTGAAGAGCGTCAGCGAACTTGTGGAACAGGACCGCTGAAGGAGTGAAGCGACCGCAGGGAGTTCAAGGTCCCAGCGACGGCTGGGTGCCAGCAGCAGCTCCGTCATCGCCAGGTGGGTCCCGAGCTGTTTACCCGAGTCCAAATTGAAATGACAGAGTGGCCCTGTGCGCCGCGTTTCTAATCGATTAGCCTTGGCTGCAGTCGGTGGATCAGCCAGCGACCTCAGCCGGCTGACATTACGGCTCAGTTCTTTGACATACCTACCCATTGGGCTGCTCTTTCGAAATCGAAATAAGTAGGAAAAAAATGTTGGCTTTTGCTCCATATTGCATACATATAAACAAAATTTAAAAACCTTTTTCCGCGGGAAATTAAAAAAGATTATCAAACTAATAATTTTTAATGAACGTTTTATTTTTATTTTTATTGAACTGTGAGAAGCAAGACACATTTTCGCACAGTTGAGGCGCTATATGGCCGAGCCACTTGCTAATGTTTTCCCTCGAGTTGAAAGGTAGCCAAATGCAATTCTCGAGTTGTGAAAACATCCTGAGAGCTATGAGATCACCCATTAGCTGATGTATATTTTAATAAGCGGCGGTTCACTTTAGTACAACATGGAAGCAGTTAAAATGCCTGTTCATGCCTAGCATTTTATTTGTTTGCCTTCAACAAACGAAGTGAACAACTAATTAGCCATAGATGGTCGGACTGTATTTCAACGGTATGGGACATATTTTCCAATTCGTTTGCGCTGTATTGATTTTAAAAAGGGCATCATTGGCATACCGTTTGTATATCATTAACTGCCCCTTTTCATATATTTTTGTGGGTATAGGCACCTACTAGGTGCTTATGGTTTTAAAAATCACCTCTATTCCATAAAATCTCAAAAGCATGCTGTGTCCTCTCGCTGTGCCCATGTTGAACTCGATAATTATGCTAACTAAGCATGACGCCTTACTAGGCTGGAGCTGTCGTTTCTTGCTAACTCATGACATGACAGGCGAAATAAGTGGTGAATGGTTTTTTAGCAACTTTCGAGACCTCTCCGGCAGTAAATGCAGGCCACTTTGTAGACCGCTCGCTAAAAAAAAAAATGGGAGACTTATGAGATTAATTGCTTACAATTGAGGCTGAAGGGATAAGAAGCATGGCTTATCTTATGGATGCTCTTTTGCCTAACCATTCAGCACAACGCATGTGGAAGAGAAATGTGCTCCATCATTTTTTTTTTCCTGTTCATTTCATTGATAATGCGACTGCAGAAACTCCGGCATCCATCTTGCAGCGTCATGTGGTGCCTTTTCAAATGCGATATCATCCACAATGCAGCAACCATCAGGATAAACGACAAATATATGAATGATTCGATGTCATTCATGCGCTTCGAGATTTATACTGCATGTTTCCTTTCCTTTCGACAGGATATTCATTCAGACACAGTGATTGATTTCAAACTTCACTGGGCTGTATCAGCCGTCAATCTCGTATATTTCTCCATAAACAAAAACAGTTCCCGGCGGTCGTCCACGAAGGTTGTGTTGGTTTGCGTACAATGAGCGTTATAGCCACGGTCACGTACCCCTGGACGTCCCATGGCCCCAGGATGTTCAGTTTGTTTTGATAACGGGCGCGAAACGATCGTCTCGTCATTGGCGGTGAATGCCGGATGACAGGTTGTTGTTGCTCGTCTGTTTGCACGTCTTGTCTTGAACGACTGGTAACGACAGGGTTCTGCACTGTCGTCACACAAGGGTGCTGTGATGGATTGTTGAATCAAGACGGTGCGTAGTTAAAACAAGAAAAATGTAGAATGATGCGCACTTGGATGGGTCTGGTGCGGCATATCGTTGAGGGCAACTGTTCAATTTCACTCGGCTGCATTGGAATGTCTAAAGTAAATGTTGCCATTAGTGTTTTATAGATAGCACGGCTGCAAGGCGCATTTTTCAGAGAACACAACTATTTTCCATTCAGCTGAGTGATGCGACATTCACCACCGAACAGCATATCATCTTGCATATTAATTGCAATGTGGGCAATGAATACTTAATGTTTCCATTATTTGAAGCAAAGCATTGTTGAAATTCGTCTAAAGCACATTGCTAGCCATATACGAGCGAGTGAATTCACAGACGGCGACCAGCTGTGCCGTCTGCGACTGTCGTCGCCGACCGACTCCCAGGCCAGTTTACATGCTCCGACCGACCCGCCGCCGCCGATGCCATCGGCTGTCAATGGATTAGTGGCCACTGGCCAGGCCATGTCTTCAGCTTAGGCAAATGTGGCGCGGCGAAAAGGTAATGCATGCTTTACAATGCCACGATCGCCAGCCGGAGAGTAATAAATATAAACTTAGCTCTGAGAATTCTCGCCCTCCTGTTCACATGTAAATTATTCTTTTCTCGGGCTAATTTACACATCAATTTTGAACTATGGCAAAATTACGCGAGCGTGAACACGTACCTACTGTATTTCGCCTTTTGTTGTAGGTCTCATCACGATCACTTTCGATGAGTTATGCAATTACAACAGCTTTGGATTTTGATGCATTCCTGCTCTAATGCCTATTTCATGCTAGGGGAGGAGTGAACTGAGCATCTGACTATCGTAAACTCAGGGTTTTAATTGCTTTAAATTCCATCCAAACGCTCGCGCAGCATTCGTGGCGTGCAAATATAGACTATGTGCAGCCGCTAAAAACTGCCCCTTCCAAGCATTGATTTTTATAGGAATTATCCACGCGGTAAGCATGCAGATAACCCCTTTGGCAAAGCAAAATGAAAAGATGTTATGCATGAGTTGTGAGAGCGTCTGTACGATTTAACAAATAATCCCAAAATTTGCTCCTTCACATGTTATGGAAGGTAGTTAAAACTTAAACTGCACAAGCCATGAAAGCTCTGGTATTTGAAATGACAAACGTTATGTTGACGAAGTTCCTACCACATGCCTCTCGACACTTGATAAATCTCATTTGAGGTGGCCATCCATATACAGTAACATAAGTTCTCAGATTTTGTGAAGACTTAGAACGCTGCTTCCCGAACAATGTCCCTAAGTAATAGCGCTCGCCGCTGAGCATGTTAAGAATATCAAGTAGCCGAAAACCACGGCCATTTGAGCCCGCCCGATGATCTGTTAGGTACTAATGTATTCAGTTTGCTTCTCGTAGAACGTTCTTTGCTTCTGGCACTTACCTTAATTGCAACGTCATATATGCAATAAAGGCAATTTTATGTTGTCCAATTAATCACAGAGTTTAATAACAACATCTACCTTCTACATGAACGACGAGCATATCCATCCCACGTATTTATGTGGCATGTTTTCGTGATATTTCTCTCGTGTCGTGGCATTTATCTGATGATATCAGACGACACAGAACCAACAATAAACGCTCCATCACCAGTAATTAAGTTTTCCATTAAAAAAGCCCTTCCTCCGACAAAACCCTAGCTCTAATTGCACCACTTGTACATACACTGCATCCCGCGGCTATGTCTCTGATAATGGGAGGTGTACCTGAGAGAGGCTTCATCGACGCGCGTGGGAGTGTCGCCACCGCTGCAGACCGGAAAGCGCGATTGCACGGGGGTTTGCGGATGTGGGTCTACCGTCTGTGGGTTCACAGGAGAATGGGCCTGCTGTTGGACAGGAGTGACCCGTCGCGACTAGCACGGCGGCTGACAGCGTACGGTAGCCGCGGCTCGTCTGAGTGACAGCGGCACGACGGGCCTGCACGGCGGCAGCTGGCATGCGAGTGTCTGGTGGTAGATGATCGGAAACGGGTGTTTACTCTTATTGGAATAAATATGGTGGCCAGCTGAAGAATTTCAACGTGATAGTAAGTACTTCCACGGATGGGTACGTGCTACTTTCGGTTTTGATGGTTCCTGGTTCCTGACGAAAACGCAAATTCCCGAATGATCCTACCTAATGGTTTAAAAAAAAAATGAAAGCACTTTTCCTCTCGTTGGCATTGTTGGCGACTTGAAAATAAAAAACTTGCTGTAACCGAGATAAAAAAGTGTCGTAAGAAAGCACTGCAGTAAAGCAAGCACCAAATTACCCATCTTTCGTGGTGATGTCTAGTATGAGACTGAATCAGCGTCTTCTTGCCAGTCGCACGGCAGCATTAACTTGCGCTGTAAATTTCCTATCATGTTGTATTCTGATTGTTTGTTTGTTTTGTTGGGTTAGGCCCTTTCGGTCGACAAGACCATTGCAGAGCCGGAAGGATGATAGGATTTAGGGGGAAACATTGGTCTGGGCAGGCATCCTAGTGAGTCGCCGGGGCTGAGCCCGTCCAGAGGACAGGCCACCCAGCCCCAAGGCACTCACTGCACCCGGCTACGGGGTGCGCTCCCTCGGGAGCAGCGGTGCCGCTCCAAGGGAGCAGCCCGCATGAGATAAAGTTGCCTGTCCAGCCCGGAAGGGGGTTGTGGCGTGGTGGAGAAGGATTTCAGTTTCCTGAGGATAGAAGCACGGATAGGTGTATTCTGATTTCTTTTCCAGGTCTTTTATTCTGCTTGTCATATAGGGGAGAGTGGGGCAAAGCGGCCACCCGGGGCAAAGCGGCCACCCATCTTTTTAGCCCTTCATAGCTGGCGTCAGTTCCAATTTATGGTTTCCAATTATACTTCTCTTCACGATCGTTCGAATGAGCCAGACCGGGGTTTCAGGCCCATCACCATTGTTCTGTGAAACACGGAAAAGCATTTCTTGCCAGGTTACCAACTATGTTTACAATTTTTAAATGTTATGTTATTCCATAACCGTTTTGGAATTTTATAAGCGTTCTTGTCCATGCATTGCATGGTTATCGTACATGTATTCTACCAATTTTAATGTTTTTTACCCCACTAATAGCTAAGCTGGAATATTTTTGTCTCGGACGGTATGCGCGGGGCAAAGTGGCCGGGGCAAAGTGGCCACCCCCCAATTGGCCATAAGTTGCTTCCATCTGGATAAAAACATTATTTATATTGAAATGTGTCGTCATGCATTCATCTTGGCCACTTTTCAGTTGCATGAGTTACCAAATAATGCAATTAAATGTTTATTTTCATGAAAGTCCTTTCTTTGTTTACCTACAGGTGGAAGATG